ACAGTACATGTCACCCTTACTGAATTTTTAAAGAGCTGTTTTCCTAAACATGTTTCAGTACATGTACTTCTTTGATACAATAGGATTGGACATTTGTTCCTCTTTCCCAAAAATGCCCTCTTTGTACATGACAATAAAACAATGTCAGATATTGGTTGAGGAATAACTTACCTCTATGTACTCTGATGAGCTTCACAGAATCTTGTGAAGGAAGTGGCCTTTGACCTCAGTGTGTATAAAGCATCTGGCTGCAGCTGTTCAAGACCGCAGTTAGACACTGTGCGCAAATGCTATCTGAAAACCTCCCATAGAAATGCACACATTCCATACCAGATGTGATTTCTGCTTCATTGCGAACCATGTGGACAAAATTTTGAGCGTCGCATAATGCAATCCAACCGTTATGACCGTTCGTGATTCGAAACGGAGCCTGAGCAAGTGACGAGAATTGTAAATTTACAACACAGATAAGTTTTACAGAATTTCCTACATTATTACGCTTTTCAACAGAAACAAAAAATCTCTAAACTGGTATAAAAGAGTAATGAATCAGTCTTAGGCCAAAAAAAAAATAAGTCGGTCTCTGGTCAGCGCGCGCGTCGATTTTAATCATGCGCGTCAATCTTTTTTTTTTTCCAAAATGTTCCGCGGTAGCTCCAACAGCGCCCTCTATTTCCGCACCTCCTCAATTTTTTTTTACGAAAGAGCACCAAGGAATGGGAAATTGCACCAAGGCAAATGATCGAAAACACCAAGGCAAATTATGGAGGACACCAATGTACATGAGGACACCAAAAAAGCAAAATAGTACCCACCTTGTCTGTACAATCCAAGCTTGAAGGAAAAAAAAAAAAAAGCAAAAAAAAAAAAAAAAGCCGCGTGGCCGGAACTTTGGTCTGACCAGAGACCGAATATTATTTTTTTTTTGGCCTTAACGGCCGTTTCAAACCTTGCAGAGTCATGACCGTGATGACGTGCAGGTCATTGGTCACGCAAAAATCCAACCAATCAGAGCGTGAATTCATCAGAGTATCCAAGCGTCCTGTTTACAGGGTGCGGGGTATGAGCGAAACCTCTACTGAGTACATGAATTCATGTACAAAAAGAACACTTTTAAAAGCCAACAAAAAAATGGTTTGCTCTTAAGTTTTACTTCTGTTCAAACATTTACAAGTACTACCTGTATACAATGTAAATAATTCAAAAGTCTCACTTTTCTTTTGCACCTGTGGACAAATTGGCAATACCGGTATTTCCTGCACTTGCATTATTAAGACCATATGCAGGCATTTAACTGAATTTATATACGGAAGCATGGGGATATGACTCAACTTCAAGAAAAAAAATTACAGGTAAATGAACTACAAAGGAAGGAATGTGGGTATAATGTACATTACACACTGTACGTGTACACAATGCACCTGCTTCTAATTACAGTAAACATACAGGTGTTTAGAGATAAGCAGTGAATATAAATTTCTTTTTATCCAAAAATCTCTTCAGGTAGGATTAGATCAAAGTAGAATTCTTGCCAGGCCTTACATGTATGTTAAATAATGAAAAGTTTGCGGAAACACCATGTGCGAATAATTTCTCAACTGAGAGAATGGTTCTGAAAAGAACCAGAGGTATAAACTCGACGTTCCGGTCAGTATGCTCTGACCGTCTTCAGGAGAATGCCTAAACTCTCCTTCTTAGGCATTCTCCTGAAGACGGTCAGAGCATACTGACCGGAACGTCGAGTTTATACCTCTGGTTCTTTTCAGAACCATTCTCTTACTTGAGAAGTTATTCGCACATGGTGTTTCCGCAAACCTTTCATTATCTAGTATCTCCACCATGCAAAGCCTCAAATCTTACTTATGTATGTTAAATCTTGGATGAATGTTGCTGATTACGAATGAGAAAAGGGAAGTCTTGGGTTACACGGGAAACTTGGCTTATTTGAGGAAACTACAAAATTTAAATCAAAATTTAAATGTATTTTTAAAGGGAGAAGTTGTAGGCATACATGTAATATACTTTTTTTCCACCAGTTGAACCATCTTGTTCCTTGGTTGTTCATTGACATTGATGCCCCCACCCATTTTGGGGGGTTTTGTTAGGGGAGGGGCCTGCCCTGGCCCTTCCCCTATTGCCACCAATTTATTTCTTGTATTTATGCTAAATGTCATTTCAATCATTTATTTCAGTAGAACTGTACCCTGGGTATGCTCAAACAGTTTAAAACCGGTTTCCATTGTAGGACCATTTCCAAATTATTAAAGGAAAGTAAAATTCACAAGCAAATAGTGCATTGGTGAAGCAGCCTACGAACATCACATGTACAGTGTAGTTTACAAGAATTATTTACACAAATAGACCTAAAAATTCATTTTAAAGGGAATGTACAACATTTGCTTTTGCTGCAATTTTTAGAAATAAATGGATTTGGAGGATTAGTATGTTATAGAAAATATTGGTAAACTGACTTGCTTCACGTTTTGGGTTCGGAGATGCTGGAAACTCCAAGAAAACCAACAATGTTCTTGTAGTCTTGTTCCCTGACCCCACTTAAGATGAAACGGAACACTGTATAGACTTTGGGGAATCGTAAGGTCAGAGAATCAGTCTAGCAGGCTTGTACCCATTCACAGGTGTGTAATCAATTGCTAAGGAAATGCGGAATAACTAAATATGAAAAATTCGGAGTTTTTGAAAAAGCGCCAGTTTTCTCCAACGCTGGTCGGCCGACCAGCGCTGAAAAAATTACACGTTTTCTTGAAAATGTCAGCACACCGGGAGCCCTGATTTTACAGGATGCTTTGGATTGTCATTCCCAAACAATCCAGTAAGATATTTTGTGATAATTTGATCATTTCATTTTTTGAGGTTTGCAAATGTTGTATCTTCTCTTTAAAACATTATAGTAGGCCTATACATGTAAAGAAATTGTGCATATTTTGTTTCACCATTTCCGCTGTGTGATGGATGTTAACTGAAAGTGGCCAAACATACATGTACTTTTATTTTTTGACAGTTTTAGGGAACAGAATTTTGATTTAAAATTGTTCATACTGTGTCTTGTGCCAACACACAATTGGATTTGCTTCAAATTGAATTCCATATACCGGTATTTCTATTAATTTCATTCGTTTCCAACAAAATCTTGCCCAAATATTAAAAAAACAAAAACCTCAATTGAGATTTTCTTGATGGACAGATGCAGTGCATTCACATATGTTTTACACTGTCACTTCCTGTGATGAACATCTTCAAATCTGTCTCGAGGCTTTTGACTCGAGATATTATGCAGACCATCAAATCAGAAATGACAGTGGTTGACAGAAACATAATGAGTAATTTCCACAGACGTCAAGAAGGCTAGCAGTTGCTCACAAAATTCATTCATTCAGTTATTGGATTACTGCCATAAAAAAAGAGGAAGTTATGATCAGACAGCAGATGACATCCCTGGATATTGGATGTAAAAAAACTGAATGTCGGTGTAGTATGAAATAAATAAAGTTGATGACGGTATAAGCAGTACTATGAAGCAGGCCCTCTGTTGACTACATGTACTTTGGCCACTGACAAAAATACATTTTTTACCTGCATTTTGACCTGTGTTGTTTGTAAACTATCATCAAAATTAAAGTTCATTGGGAGTAAGTTTAAAAGCAATAATGAGGTGTTCAAAGAAAGATGTTTACATGTTATTTGCACGATAAAATAGCAGATCAAAAACCAATAGTCCAGTCAACAAACTGTATACAGCTCAAGCTGACGTTCTCGACAAAGTACCCCCTCTATTGACCACACCTGTATTTGTGTGAATTATAAACCTGTTTGCAGACACTAGTCTGCATGTGTACACCTAAACACGTATGGGACAGTGCAGACCGGTTCAATAGACCATAGACCATTGTACAGTACAAATGTACCATAAGGGATTTCCTCTTGTCATAATGCTACATCCTGGAAGTGGGTCACACAACCACAATACAAGGACACAGATGGCTAAAGTCTGAGGTTGGAAAATATCGGACTTGTGACATTTTTGGAATAATTTTAAAATGGCATTGATTAGTGAATAATGAAATGTCGATAATTTTGCAATGAATATAATGTCAATAATTTGACACTAAATGGCATGTTTATTTTTAGCTTACAAGTGATTTTGTTTTGGTCATTGAATTGAACACATCTGGCTTTGAATGCAACCAAAAATGTGGTGAGATGATTAAAAACTTATCTAGATTGGAGGGATAAATCAACAATGATAGGTTCCTTTAAAAATTGAAACGAAAAAGTTTGCTTGCTACAAATGTGTTGAAATTATAAACAGTGCCTTTAAGAAATGTCTTTGTTTACTGTTACTATTTTTGCCTTTTAGATCCATTCTAGTTTCAGTTTAAATTTTTATCAGTTTTGATAATAAATCATTAATTTTGTGTAAATGTCATTGCAGATGGCAAACTTTGGCCTGTAATTACTGCAAGGTACAATGTTCATGTGTTTGTTTTTGATAAAATTTACTTTGGCACGTTTGGGAAAATTTCTTTTGATAAAAAAGATAAATTAGTGTCTGGAACGGTGTTTAAAAGTGAGCAAAGTCAAACAAGTTCCCTGCACGTGATTACAAGAGCTTTAAAGGCATAAATAAATGGAAATTTATACGCTGTTACACGGTTAGAAAGTCTCTGAAATTGCAAACATTGAGGGTTTGACTTTGTGATGAAATTTGAAACAAAGCCAATATTATTCTATTGTGTAAGTTGATTACTTGCATCTGGAAATGGGAGTCGTCTGTTCTTAAGTTGTCCTCCATGAAACCCAATCACCGTGTACCAGTAGGGGCCTACCTCCCCATTCCTTCCATTGGTTGTGCCCAATTATGGCACCAAACAGGGCCTATGGGTTCCCCCCTTATAGGCAGGATCCCATGCACAGGGCCAGGGATTGGTATGCAGGCGATCAGTGCATACAGAAACCAGGAAGGGCTATCCTTGAAAACCTTTGTTCAGCTTGTGAAACGATGCACAATCAGACCATGGACGTTTTTCTTGGCAAACAGTTAAAAGCAACAACATGAATTGATATGAAATGATATCTTTCTGTGTATGCTTTTATCAGTAGTTTGTGATACAGTTGCTCCGGACTTTGAAAAATACACGTGCACAAAAGGTTGGTGAGTTGTGGTTGAAAGCTGCCGACATCCGTGACTATTGTGCCATGATGTCACTCTACACCTTAGGATATTGGTGAAAGCTTGCGCTGTGTTTGTTACCCACTGAAGCGCATTCAGTTTTTGTACTGTCAGTTTTCACATGGACAGGCAAAGTGGATGTGATGTCCTTGCAGTGTTTGGAAAAATGTGGTGTATATTTCCCTCAAGTGTGAAGGAAAACCATGGAGGAATAAGAAATGCAGGCACCGTCGAAATGTTGACTCTACAGGTACACCTACATCATCAAGGATATTTGCTTGGAGTTTTTATGGACCGTCTGTCTCATTGTGTTCTGATCATGATCTAGAAGGAAGCTTGGAAGTTGGATGTTACATTTGACAGCGTTCTTGTGTTCAGATTGAACCCATAAATGTGATGAAAGTGGGATTGGCATTAACTCGAACAAAACCTTTAGAATTCTTTTCTCTGAAAGTTTGAAAAGGTTCTCGTTGTTGCCCAATCTGAACTCTCCACATCCGGTGACTGTGGTCTGACCCTACTTAAGTGGAAAATTCTCAGGGCTTTCTCCTGACGTGGAAAGTAGTTTGGATTTGATAAAATAAAGCTTCAGAACTTAGCCCAAGTATTTGTCATTCCAGTGATTGTGTATTGTGACGGAAACAAGCTTTTGAAGTTGAAACAAAACTCTTTTGATTTTTATGACATCAGACTTCAGAGCAGCAACAGAAACAGAGCTTTTCTTCAAGAGATTCTTCAAGGGAAATTGGAAGATGTTGGCCGTTCATACAGTACAGGTATAACCGTTGTATTTTGTTTAAAGCACTCAATAAAAATCCCCATCTGTCAAAGTCCGGGCTGGTCATATCATGGGTATTTTCCAGATAAGCTTGTTAGTGGTAATATGCCTCTTCACCTTTGAACTTCTTTTAAAACATATCCTGCTGCAGCATACCGTCGGTACTTATAGAATGGTAATTCAAAGAATCAAATATGTTTGTTAAAAAAATACTTTAACGATATTTTGTGGTTTTGTGGCTTTCAGTATTGCATCACTTTGATTTGAATATGTTCTATATTTCATAATTAGTCAAATAACTTTAGAAACTTACATGTACATCTAATAAGTATATTTTGGCACCAGACATGCCAGAGAGTCTAAACACGACTAAACAAAACAGGAAATCATCATTTATAACTGACTATTACTAATCCAAATTGGCTCTCTTGCGCCTGGAAATTTTGGTTTGTATTTTTTTTAGATTGAAACACCACATTGAAAAATTGTAGTCTTCGACAAAACAAATCCTGTTTTAGACACATCCGTTAACAATCTATATTGATTATCAAATCTTACAAGAGCAGTGTCTTTACTCCAAGTCTATAAACATGCACATATTTAGGCATATGGACTCTGCAAGTACATTGTAAGAAAAAAATGTAAAGCTGATAAAAATCAGAATGAGAGAACTGCTGGCTCTCAGGGGTGTATTCTCAGTTCATAAAAATACCTGAGTTCTCCCAATGGTCCTCTGCAGATACATGGAGAGAATTATTCAGAACATCACATAGAATGACTCATGCACTATTTTTGAAAGCAATTACTGGAACGAAATTGAGTGGAGACGATTGAGAACAATTTGTTTGGAGTCTTTGGTTTGTTTAAATGAATAATCAATTTGCATAAATGCACATTTTGTATTCATTGCAATGCAGTTATACACTGTGTTGCAATGAACACAAATGTGCATTTATGCATGCACGTGTGAAACATGCACTATGCCAGGAAATCAACAGGAAATTTGTCATTTTCCTTTGGCTTCTTCAAAATTCAATGAAAATCAGATTTTTATTGTATGTATGTTTCGTCGTTCACTTACCAGAAGGGCATACCGGTAGGCCCTATATCATATATGGTACAATACAGACACGCTGATAATACGAAGTACCAGTACTTAAAGGGACACTAGGTCCTGAAATCCCCGAAAATTTCATGTTTTGGATTGTTTACTTAGCATATTTCAAACATCTGGTTGAAAGGAAACCAACCTAATGTCTTACCGTTCCTGAGAAAAGACGGAAAAAAACCCTGGTTGTTAATACATCGGACACGTACAACGGAGTATATGTTTTTCGTGTCGTTCTCAGTGTACGATATGTACATGTTGTGTGTCACGGGAACAGCGGTGACCAATCGCCAATGCAAAAAAATATGGTTTCTTCAACGTCCTCTAAAGGCGAACACTTTACGAATGAAATCACAACTAGCATCGAAACAGCTCGAATTTATGGAGTGACAAAAGTGGACTCCGATTCATTTTGGCACGCATAATACAGGAATAACACAAGAATGCCCAGTTTTTAAAGGATAGTTGTGTGGATGCTTATATCCTAGTTTTAAATGTTCTTTCCGATTAACATCATCTCGTTCAAAGCGCGTTTTGTAGCTCAATTGGGCTGTTCCAGAACTCAGTGCCCCTTTAACAAAGTTTTAAAAGAAAGGTGTCATTCTTATTAATTTGGGACCAGTCAATGCATCAAGCCCAACACTACAAAACCTGTAAATCAGTAAGTCTTCATCATAAAGTGTTGTTGAGTTTTTGAAATTTCAAAGGCTTTCATTCAGAACTTTTTAGGTAATTTAACTTACACTGAATGGAATAGCAGTGCCCTAAAGCTCAACATTGTTACTTTTCCGATAAAAATTATTGGCCCTCAGACAAAAATATAATAATGTCAAGCCATCGTTGGCGGGCGGCAAATGATTCCATCATCGGCAGCCACGACAGCTGTTGAGACTCCAAACTGCCTTTTCTCTATTCATGTGTCTTTCAAGAAAAGAAACTGCCGTCTCTATACACCATCTACACCGTAGGGCATAGCTTTGTTCCTCGTTCTTGCCCTCTCCCCTCGCTAAGCTGGGGTGAAAACGGCCGTCATTCTTCCCAATATAGTTCCCTTTCTCTCACTGACTGCAGAACAGCTACATGTATGTGAGCGTTTGGTGCTTCTAGCTAAACATCTGTTAAAATGACATGTTATTGCAACTTGCAAAGGTGGACTGATGTTGCCTGAAGGCCACCATACATCCTGAATTAAAGGGTCTTTTTTTAAAAGTCACTCTTTTTACTGACTTCAAATGTATTACGTGATTAAAAAGTGAAAAACAGGAAAATATGCCCCCCTTCAAAAAAAAGGGAAAATATGTAGATTTTCACAAATTTTACAGTTTCATCTTAAATCAACAATTATCCATGAAACGGTAATTATTTAATGTACAATTGTACATCATGTTCAACTTGTATGTACCGGTAGTACCTTCCTACTTCCGCATTACTGGTAGATAAAAAAACACTTAAACAAAACATTTAGAAACCCAAGCAATTTAGACTCCACGCATAATTTGTAAAATTTACTTTAAAAATAACACCTGAACTTGTCAAACTGTAATTGCAATTAAAGGTCAGTTGTGCCAATTAAACTATTTTCTCCCCTGGTGACGGACATTGGCCGATAGTACTCTGTTCCTGGCTGTGCCAGTGGCCCCAAATGTGGATCCAGTTAAAGTAGACGTTGGCATTTGGAAGGCTTACCCTGAGTTGAAGCTGCACATTCTATTGATGTATTTACTGAAGCAATTTGAGGAATTTAATGGGCTTGTGTGGGTGGGCTGGACATTTATCTTGTTACGCTTCTCACACTGATACAAAAAAATAAGGAAAAATGGCTGGACTGTAATTTTGATGATAAAACAGACATTACTTTTTGTTTTCATCTACTGTGTATGTTTCTTCGGTATGTGTACTTTGCAAATTTAGAAGAAGGAAATTAAGTGTCATTGAGTGTCCTTCAAAGTTCAAAATATAAATTGAAGAAACAAAGTTTAAAGAGTTTGTGACGTTTTGAATATGAATAAAAACATAGCTTTGTAAAGAATTTGCCATTAGATTTTTAACTGAAGATATTTTGCTGAGCTGCACGGAGTGTCCATTTGGCATTTATTTACTCATCCGTGTGGTACTATTGCACGCTCCTCCAGGTCAATATAAATTTCATTATAATGCCCTAAAGTGATTATCCTAGTATGCTAATTGGGAAAAAGCAGAAATACTGTTGCAATTGAATTAAGTAAATGTCAACTAGAAAATACATTCTGACAAAAAAAAATATTGATACAATACAACTATGATCCAATGAATTCACCGTAGTTCCATGCAAAATTTAAAGTTGGTTTTGAAATTGATACTCCGCAAATCTAGAAAAATGTGCCTATTCAGCTCAGCTTACCAGTTGGTTGCCGTGAAAATATTGACCCTGATTATCACTGACCCCGACACGACTCTTAAAGAATTTCCCATTGATTGAGGGGTTTTGTGTTCGGGTCATACATTTTCCACTTTCCATTATGTTTCTATGACAACCCCATTGCCATCAATCATTCAATGTGTTTCCTACCTGCGTTGAGTTCACAGCTTTTGCAATTTCACAAACAATAGAGGTTTATATTAAATATAGTGTACAGAGCCCAGCCTTGAACTGTATCAATTCATTCGGTCACTGAATAAAGCCTGCCGTTCATGAACCTTTCATCAGAATGAAACAACAGTACAGTTACCTGCATGCCTCTAGGAGTATTGGCACAGTAAATTGAAGAAGCCCTGTGAGTGCATGTCGGTGGGATCAGCTAACGTAATTTTAGCCGTAGCCCTTGGTAATGCCAGGTATATACCGGTATCTCAAGTGCAAGTGCATACACGCATGGCTTGGGAAACAGTGCCTGCCACAATTCATTAGTCAACCTTGTTCTCCTCATAGGATTAACTGTGTTATGTCTTAAGCCCCTACATTCTGGGTCCTCAGCTAATCGCGATTGACGCCACCAACTGGGGTCCGGCCACAAGAACGAGCCGCAAACGGACGCAGCGTGCTACCGACCACTGGTCCCGACTTGGAGTCTCCTCGCTCACGCTTGGTGTGTTTGTCTGAACTCTGTGTAACAACATCCTCAGATCTGACCTTTTGCCTCCATCTCAGCTACCGTCCTTTTCCCCGCTCTGATTATTGAGGTGTCACTCCAAACCATCTGTGGTCTTACCATGAACCTGCGGTTTATCATTGGCCGAGTTGGTGGGCTGGGTTTGTCAACACGCTGTGATACGGCCCGCCTCTGGTGTCATTTGGACAATGGATGTAGCAGAAGCCGGAGGGCTGCTAGATGTTTAAGTTGATTCAGAGTATTGGATAGATTTCTGTGGATGGAATGGAGGTATCAGTGGATGGAGATCTGTGGATACAATGTATCAACTAATTTGCTTGAGGAACAAGATGTCTATGTGTGGATATACATGTCGTCCCAATACATTGTACAGGACAACAGAGAATGATACTGACCTTGATACTTTGAACAGCGATGGAACGTTACCACATTGCATGCAGGATGCATTCTTAATTTTGATTACTAGTCATAGTCATAAAATTTGACTGTGACGACTCGTAAACAGGCCGCTAATATTGTCTGGATACACTTGGCTGGAGGAGCATGAGTGTTTGATGACTTGAACTAGGAGAAACAACATTCCGCCATCTGGGGAAGTAATAACGCGGCCTTTTTACCACGGATTGCTTTACTGTGTAAACCGAGCAATAACATTTTACTTTTGGAGTTGTCCTTTTCAGAAGGTGCATTATCATCGCTTAAGCTTGAAACCTGAAGTGTTGTCAGCCTCATCAACCTTTCAGACCCCAAAGCAAATTCCGAGGAAGTCGCTGGAGAAAGTCTTGGATTTGGGCTTATATA